ATGCAAGGACTCGGGTATTCACTGGCATAAACTTCAAGTATCCTAAGAGAGCACGCACCTGTTTAAGCTGCTTGCATGATCTTCTTTGTCTGATCTTGCTGGACATGACCTATCATCGTGCTTTGCACATAGAGAGTCATCAATAAATGATGAGCCCTAACCAGTTTGGCTCAGTGGATAGAGCAGCGGCCTATGGACTGAAGGGTCCCAGGTTCGATTCCGGTCAAGGGCATATACCTTGGTTGCAAGCACATCCCCAGCAGCAGGTGTGCAGGAGACAGCTGATTGTTGTTTCTTTCTCATCGATGTTTCTAACTCTCTATTCTTCTCCCTTCTTCTCTATAAAAAAATCAATAAAATATTTAATAAATAAATAAATAAATGTCTGATGAGTAAAAGGTACAATCCTTATAGTTTCAATCCCACATCTACATTTATGGTCTTTCATTCTAATCTTCTGGAATGAACTATTTAGTATCTTTATTATTAGTGATCTAGGAGGTGTCTAAGGGCACTCCATTTGAGTTAATGTTGTATCTAATTATATAATAGAAAACCTAACGAACCTAAGGGAATCTGAGAAAGGAATGGTGGTGGAAAACTCTTAAACAGTAGTTTGTTCTTCATGTTACAACTTTGGAAGAATACCATTTTTTACATTATATACTCATAAGTGTCAGGAAGTATTTAAAATGAGAAAAGTTTTCATATTCTTGCTATATGGGGAAATTGGAACAGGAAGGGCTAGACCTAATATATCAGGATAGCTGGCATGTATGTTTTCAGGATGTAAGTAGTTTGTGTATTGCAGGCTCAATGGTCTGTCATAATTGTCTTCTGTTCTAATACTAAAACAGCCATAGACAATACATAAATGAAAGGATGGGACGTTTTTCCAAAAAGAAAACAAAAAACTCTTTATTCATGGATAATTAAATTTGAATTTTACAAAACTTTCACATAGCACAAAATATCATGTTATTTATTTATTTAGTTGGATATTTGCCAACTTTTTGCTCAGAGGTCTTACAAAAAATTGTGGTAGGCCATATTTAACCCAGAGGCCATGGTTTGCAAACTCATGTTGTAGGACTCCCCCCAAAATAAATAAGAACCCACTCAGAACAACTGTCTTATTGTCCTAAATGTTTTGGCCATTCAAAGTCATCAGTTTTTTTGGGGGGAAGTATCAGGGGCCTCAGGTTAGGGGGGAAAAGGAACTACACTTCAATAGTTCACGTCTTCCACAGCTTTCTTATCTAGTAACTAGAGGCCCAATGTACCAATTCGTGCACCAGTAGGGTCCCTCAGCCTGGCCTGCAGAATCAGGCTGGAACTAGCTCTCTGACATCCCCTGAGGGGTCCTGGATTGCGAGAGGGTACAGGCCAGGCCGAGGGACTCCACTGATAACACGATCTGCACGATCAGGGCTGGGGAGGGACACAGGAGGTTGGCCAGCTGGGAAGGGACCGTGGGAGGGCTCCAGGGCAAGTCCGACCTCTCTAGCTCAGTCCCTATCTGCTGGACCCCATGCAGCAAGCTAACCTACCAGTTGGAGCATCTGCCCCCTGGTGGTCAGTGCACATCATAGTGAGCAGTTGAGTGGCCTTAGCATATCATTAGCATATTGCACTTTGATTGGTTGAATGGATGACTGGACAACTGGACACTTAGCATATTAGGCTTTTATTATATAGGATAGGTGAAAAAGAAAGGAAGCCTCAGCCTAAAATCAGCCACATGTGTCATGTGTCCTAATCCTGTGTGCTAGGGAGTACTGATGAATGTTGCAGGAAATATCTTTTCTTTCCATAACAGGATTCTTCAACATTCAAGTGATCTACCCATCCCTTCACTTTCTGTCTCCAAGCTTGTCCATGTCTGTCTCTTCATCTCCCTAGTTTTCTCTCTGCCAGGGACCCATATAGAGGAGGAGAAAGAAATTGACTTGTTGGGGACACTTTCAGTTCTATAAAAAGGTTAAAACTGCTTTGAATTAGTAAGGCAACCTCTTACATATACCTCCATGACCCTACACACACACACACACACACACACACATGAAATAATTTTGGGTTAAAGTTGTCTCATTAAGAAGTAACTATCTTTAGGTTTTTATTCATGAAAACATCAAATAACAATTTTCTTTGGCTAATTACAGATTATGTATCCAACCTAATTTTATGACTGTTGATCCATAGGGTTTCTTCCACTGATATCAAAATATACCTTGGGTCATAAAATATTGATATTCTTCTGGTCAATTTTTTTTAAAAAATAACACAAGATACCCTGTGCATTTTGTTGTAGACTCAATTGTAATGATCCAGAAGTGGAATCCAGCCTGATGTTCTAAATCTTGAGAAATAGACATTTCATTTGTACATACAACGTGGGAAATGGAACAGGGGGAAATAAGAAATAGTATAGGGGGATTTACAAAAACAGTTTATAAGCAGGTCAGAAAAGGGATCACACTACAAACTGCTTAATACCAAATACACAGTCAGTCTGAATAGGGTTTTGTCTTTATTGGTTAGATTTCATATTTATAAAAAGAAAATTAGTGAGCCCTGGCCGGTGTTGCTCAGTTGGTTGGATGTTGCCCTGTGCACCGAAAGGTTGCCAGTAAGATTCCCAGTCAGGGCATATACCAGGTATGGAGCCTGATACCTGGGTTTCAGACTCAATTCTCAGTAGGGGGCATGCAGGAGGCAGCCAATCTATGTTCTCTTCTCACATTAAAATGTTTCTCCTTCTCCCTTCCTGTCTTTATAAAGAAAATTAGGGATTGTGAACCATTTCCTTTTAATAACTTATTCCATTCTCAGTACCTGGGAGGGTTCAAGGAAGCAGGGCTTCAAACTACACTGGGTACTGTCGGGAAGCAGACGCAGTTCTATAATAAGGCATCTCAGTAAATCTGATCAACAAGGAGGGAGCCTCGTGTGAAGATCCATCTGTGAATGGTAAAGACGCACCAAACATTCATTTTGCCGTGGACAGGAGGCATTTTTAGATGGCACGGTGACCTTGTTTTTGTCTGTGCTTAGACACAATTTTGAAGTGGCCTTGTTTTTGTTGCATTTTATTATGGCCTTAGAGTATCTTGTCTGTGGTTGGTGTTCTGTGAGTTTGTTTAGACTTAGTGGACTGTGGTGACCTAGCAGTGAGTGCCAGGCTGGCTTCTGAATGCCAAGGACAGCTTGCTTTTCTTTTTTAATATCTACCCTCTGCTCTCCTCTCTCCCACAACTGTAGTGGCTACTTCGTTTTAGTGGCATATTTCTAAGTTTGTATTACAAAATATTGTAAATGTACAGAGAAACTAAACATAATACTATAATAATCATCATTGTATCCATCAAACAACTTAAGAAATAAAAGATTATAGATACAAGTATTTGAGTATGTCTTTCGAATCTTAATTCCTCCTGGGAGGGAACTGTTATCTTGAATTTGATGTGTGACATTCTCAAGTACAAGTATTTTCATTCCCATTTAAAACATATACACATGATAGTTTATGGTCTCCTCTTCTAGGAATTATGTGAGATCTAACATTAATACACACTGAGATAATTTTTTTTTTAATTCTGGGGTTGCTTTAAGTAGGTACTAAAACCTCGAACTACATGAGGAATCATGAAGCCCCCTGTACATCAGACAGGGTCACAGGGCATAATATTATATAACTATTGTTAAACATTAGAAATGACTTTTAATGATCCCATCAAATACATGCAGCTTTCAAATGACCCATAGTGGCTTCATCTGCAGGGGCAACGTGTTGGTTTAACTTAGTAAGATGTTGGGTGGATTTTTCTTCTTCCCCCCAGAGCTTCTGCTAAACATTTTTGACACTAAAGAAGCTGCACCAATGGGAAACCCACAATTTCATTTCAGACCATTTTAATTTCATGAAGCCAAGGTTTGGCTTCTACTTGCAAATAGCATTGAAGAAAGCAATATTGTCAAAACAAGCGGCCTGGTATATCCAGCTATAAATCTGTTGAATCTGAGTACAAGACTTTCATTACCTTTTACTTCACATTTCTATATACTAGTACTATCACCGTTAATTAAACCCATCAGTGCCTTCCTCCGTGTAGGTGAACATTTTCTCTCTGACAAAGAACTGTCAACTGAGAGAATGTGTGGCACCTGGGACCTCCATTAAAAACACACTCACTTTCACCCAATAAAAAGCTGATGCATTCTGACAAATGGACAGGCAGACGGAGAACTCAGGGCCCATTCCCATCTTTTCTCGCCCTAGCTGTCCGAGACGACGGTGATGGGACTGATGGTCTTTGCCTTACTTGAGGTTTCCAAAGAATCACCCATATAACTGTCTTGCATCTCTTGTCATTTGGTGTTACTTGGTGCATTTCAAATAAAAGCAGAAAATCGCCGTGGTCTTCCGAGGTCTTTACATGACAGGGACAGGAACTAAATATCTGGCTGCTCTCACAGGGTGGCTTATCAACACACAGTCATTTCTCCCTGTTCTGGAGGCTGGGAATTCCAAGGTCACGACCCTGGCAGATTCAGTGTCTAGTGACTGCCACCTACTCCCTAGTTCACAAATTTTTTTTTGCTGAAAGAAACGATGGATTACTTAGTTATTTGGGGTCCCTTTCATAAGGCACTAATTCCATTCATGACCTAACCACTGGAGTTTTATACATATGAGTTATGGGTGGTGGCGGTGGTGGTTGTGTGTGTGTATGTATGTATGTGTGTGTGTGTGTGTGTGTGTGTGTGTGTGTGTGTGTGTTGGGGCGGGGGAGAAGGCACAGACATTCAGACCATAACATCTGGTTCACCAAAAGTCCAGAATATTTGCAATGTTAAGTACACAGAGGCGCAGATCAAGTTCGTGGGGATGGCTGGAGGGGTTGAGGGGACAAATACCCCCGGATTTGAAGGCAATATGAGAGACGCAAATTCCCCTAAGTCCTTATCCTTTCATACTGACATTTAGCTTGTCTTTGCAGGGGAGCACTTAAGAATCTGTCCTCAAGAATATACCTGCTGCACCACAGAAATGGAGGACAAGCTAAGCCAGCAGAGCAAACTGGAGTTTGAAAACCTCGTGGAAGAGACGAGTCACTTCGTGCGCACTACCTTCGTGTCCAGGCACAAGAAGTTCGACGGTAGGTCAAACAGCCTCCACTTTCACTTTGTCCTACCTGTGCTTTTCTCTGAGAAACACCCTGGTCTTATGGGAAAAACCTTTTTTAGGTAGGATCTTTTCTTTCCCTCTTAAATATTTATAGCTTTTTTTTTTAAAGCATGTGCTTTCTTGACAATTTAGATAGTAATAGCTTGGAAAAACCTGATTTAAAGAGCTGTTTTGCATTTGCAGTTTGCCTGTGAGATTTCTGAAAGACGTAAGCTCAAGTTTTATTATTAGAGTGATTCTAATTCAGGTTTTGTAGCTTGTCTTCAGTTTTCATCAGGGCATTTTTCCTTAAAAGAATTGAATGCCATTCAAAATGTTTTGAAATACAACACTTTGAAACAGACAGGCGTGTTTGAAGTGCCAATGACATGGTGTCCTTTATTTTAGAGTTCCTTCTCCCTATAACATAGCCAGGGTTCCCTTTTCAGTTGCAGTGCTTTCTGCATAAGGTTTAAGTCCCCTATTGATTTCCTGATTATATGCAATTGACTTCACTTCTCAATGCTATTTGTTCAATAAACCGTCTGTATTAGAAAGTGCAACGTGTGAATGTAATTATAACTAGAATTCCAGCATTGCGTTTTCTCGTGTGAGCCTCAGAACAATATTTTAAAGCAGTCTGATTTTTATAAACTGAATTAATAAGGATGAAGTTAATATTCTTAAGTGGTGTGTAGTCTTAGAGCTCTAAGAAATGAGTGTACCTTACTATATGACTCCTTGGAAAGCAGACTTGCAAATCTTGGTGAGCCTTCCTTGTGCCCTTAGTCATATTAAGTTGCCTAAGGCAACAGAACTGCCATTCATTTTCTTCCCGCTCTCCAGTCAGTGCACAACAGAGCCCGTGTAGAAGAGGCCTGCCAAAGCTTTTCTTTTTCTTTTTTGTTTTCCTCTGTAGTAGGTAAAACGTTCTGCTTCGTTGCTGCTTTAAATGAGTATAACAGCACCAATTTCTTTCAAATCAGTCCTCCAAGTTCTAAAAGGCAGGTCCACCCGGCAGTGGTTTCAGTATTCAAGATGATGTGAAATTTTCCACCTAAGCGAACGGGACTTGTATTCCCTGCAAGTATTTTTCAGCATCTTCACATTCTTCTGCTGCCTCTCACTCTGTGTTCAACTTTATTATGTAGATGTATATGAAAATAATGCCTAGTTCTGAAGTGTTACTGTGAATGTTTGTTCCCTTGAATGCACCCAGGGAGTACTTGGGAGTTACCCTTGATTGACAGATTACCACTCCAGTGACATTCAGGAGCCCCTGCAGGGGCTCTGTGTTTGAGGAACTATAATGTATCAGTTCAGGTGGAGGCCACTTGAGACACTCCATCTTTTGTGACAGAAAGCAGGTGGGAGGGACCTGCTGCTGCTGATTTCTACCCTTGGAAAACAACTCTAGTGCTTTTATAAAACTGTACTCTAAAATTAGGTTGCAATAGTTCCAGGGCAGTATTCACAATACATAATATATGTGTATAAAGATATATATATACACACACACACACACACATACATACATACATATGTATATATATATACCTTATATCTCCTATTTTTATTAAAAGATATATATATATATCTTTTAATAAAAATAGGAGATATAAGGTAGCTTTATGGAGAGTTTTTGTTTTTGTGTTTTGTTTTGTTTTGGTAAATGAGTAGTTATTCAACAAGGCTGAGTGAGATACTTCTTGTATTTTCATATCAATGTCTTTGAATTTATAATATTTAATCCCACATCTCATTCATTTTATTAAGGAAATCTCCTTCCCTCCTTTTTCCTGCCTCCCTTCTCCCTTCTTTCCTCCATCCCTCCCTCTCTTTTTACAGGTGTGTTTTAAATTATGTTAATGTATTTAGGGGTATTAAGTCAATCTGTTTGACAGGGCATTGACTTTTGATAAGATTAGATCTGACATAGAGGGTGATGAATTATTTAGTAGCAGTGCATTTCATTGCAGTTACATTCCACTGAAATGGGAGAGAAATTAAGATTTTTCCCAAGGAAGCTTTCCGCCAGACTTTAAAAAAAAAAAATCTGAATGTGTCCTGGTGAGCACAGCTTCTGTAGAGCTCAGTCTTTAAAACATTTATAGAAACATGCCAATTAAAAAGTCACCATTATCATGTTTGCCCTTTCTTTTGTCAATTTCATGAGGTCAGTTATGCAACTGTATGGCTTACCTTCTTATCCCTAGAAAGTGATACCCTAAGTCACCTTTCAGGAACTTCACTAGGTAGCTTTCCATTTCTTTCCTTGGCTGTTTTCCTCCTTAACACATCCCCGTGGTGTTTATTGATGAGTATCAGTTGGTAAGCACAGAAGAACTACCTAGGGTCAGTTTTGGAATGTTACCTTCCCAGTCTTATCTTGAGTGATAAAACCAACAGCGCTCTGAAGGGCTTTGAATTTTATTTTCCTGAAAGGTGACTTTGCAGGATCACCTAGCAGGAATAAGAAGATGGTCATATAAGTCATTTCTATTCTGTGAGTCATTGTGCATTTCTGCTGGGGTCTCCTGACCCAGAGTGTGCCTTTTGCATTTCTGCCTCTGGTCCCACTTTAATCTAGAGATCCTGATTTGTCATCTGTATTTTGGATGTCTTCATTGGCTAGATATTTTATTTTATTTTAAATGATATGAATGATAACTATATTATATGAAGAGGGGGCCCCTTTCCTTCCTATTTTCCTTAACTACAATAACATTTTAAATTCTATCTGGTACGTGTGATTCAGTCCAAACTATATGGAGAAGCCAGATTCAATCACTGTTAAAATTAGTCTACAGTTGTTGCTTCCCTTATTATTCTGGGAATGTTTTGATTCCATTAACTTTTGTTATTTGACAGAGGTGACTTTTAAATTTTGAAATTCAAAATTTTTAACATTACATAGCATTCTATCTGTTGTCATATTCTTTCCAAGTTCCTATTAACATCATTAGTAATATTTTTGAGATAACATGGTACATTTATAAATATTCATTGGGTGATTGGAACCTAAACCTGAATTAATATATATTTTTGTCTACATTCCCAAATGGCCAACTTTTGCTCCATATACCCATTAGGCTAAAATATATAGCTGAGAAGCAATACATTGAAAATAAGGTTGTATCTGAAGACAATGAATTGAAAAAATATATTCTCAATTGCTGAAATTTTCATTCTTTTGCAAGGAATTTGCTTATCACTCTGTAGCATTTTTTCTTTTTAAACATAGAATTGAAATGTTATGATGAATGTATATAAAATAAGGGTTTAGACATTCTTGACACTGGTGCTTTTCCCTATACCACAAGTTTTTGTATGTTTTTTTCCCCCTTTCTCTGGCCCAATTTCCACTTCTGGTTTGCATTACGTATCCCTGCAGGCCCCTCACCATGTGTCCAGGGTCTGACTGCTGCAAAGGGTCCCTCAGAACTATAGAGATACTTTCAATGTGGGGACGAGCACCCAGCCCAGTTCAAGTGGCAGATGGCCATAAAACCTCTCCCATATTTCTTACCTTTCTCACTCTGCCAAACACCCAGCCAGAAGTACACAAAACAAATAAATCATGTAAATATAGAAAAAAGGAAGTGACATCTTCGTGTACCCTCTCAGTTGCCTAGCTTTTTTTGTGTTTTGTGACTGTCCGACCTATCCAAGTGGCATTTGTGTCTAAATCCCAATGGTGGTCATGCATTTCAGTGGCTGATTTGTTAGAATCCTAGGAACATGGAGAACAAGAGAACACTCTGATAGTAGTGATTGTAATAATGGACAACACCTGGCCTGTACCTCACCCTTTGTAGATGTTTGCCTATCTGCCAGGGTGACCAGCACTCTCAAGACACACAGCCAATCAGTGACTGAGTCGGCTTCCCTTTTGGACTGAGCACTCCTGAGACCTAGCCTAACTACTCTACTGTACCTTTTGAGTGCTTTCCAGTCCCTGAATGTGTGGAGATTTTATGATAAGCAGCATCTATTTCTCTGTCTCCCTCTGCCTGCCCTGCCCCAAGTTACAGTGGGGAGGAAGTGGAAATGTCTTTCAGAGAAAAGTGGGAGATTTTTTTTAATCCTTAAAAAAATATAATTACCCACCTAAATATAGTCCAGCCTCCAAGGAACCTGGAGTTTAGAGCGGGTAAATGACTTGCCAAGTTTCCACCAAAATGATGAAACCAAGAGTGTAACCTAATACTCTTGACTTACATCAGTCTTATAAATAGTGGTGTGATAGGAAGTCAATATTTGGTTGAAATACTCACTAAGCTTTTATTTGGTTCGTGTGGACATTAGCTAAAATCACTGATATTTCTGTAGCCAGTCAATAGTGATGTTGATGGGTACAGAATCTAGCCACATTTTTGGTGAAGGCAGAATGGTCTTCAATTGGAAGTTGTCCTAAATTAAAAGGAAATGAGTGTTTTGTGAAAAATTTGTATTGAATCGATAAAAGCATATTGTTTATTCCCCTTAGGTACCAAAGTCTAGTAACCTCTATCTTGATGTAGGCATTTGCTTTCTATTCTTTAGGAACATGTATGGAATATGGATAATTCAGGGACAGGAAAATTTAGTTGACAGGGCATTTTATTTTGTTTATTTTTTCCTCAGATTTATTTGAGTTGAAATTTATTTGCATTTGAAACTCAATATGAGGGTTTTTGTTTGTTTGTTTAGTGTGTTCTTCTTGGTCTTATTATTATTCTCTCCTTCTTGGTTTTTATTTATGTATATTAATGACATACATTTGTCCAGAGATTTTGGCAGCAAGTACATTTTTAAAAGCAAAATAAAAAAAAAGTTCAGCCGTAATTTCCATCTTTCTGAAGAACTTATTCTACAGTAACACCCTCAGAATTCTCATTTTACTGAATGCGGAAATAATTTATACACAGCACCATAATATTTTTACACTGCAAATCTGCTGTATTTTCTTTTAAAATATCATTTTTCATCTATATACTGTAGAGACAGCAA